CAGTTCACTCCTGCTTTAGGTGCAGAACAAATGAAAACATGGCAGCAAAAATTCCACTCCGCTCTAAATGTACCTCGCCGCAGCCACAGGAGCTGCTGGGAGAGCTGTCCCCTATGCACTGGCTGACAAATGAAGCACATTTAAGGGAAAGAATTTTTCCAGCTTTGAAGCGCCTTTGGTCCCCAAGCTAAGACTTGAACAGTAACATAATTTCAAAATACTACTTATTAAAAAATATATTTCCTATCGCTTTAAGGACATTTAACAAGCAACAATTAAGAGATAAGTGCAAAAATTCATACAATAGATTACTTTATAGTATGACAATAAGACAGAAATAATTCCTTCAATAACAGCAATTTATCATCTTCTGCTTATTCTTGTCAATATATACCCATTCTGAGGTCATTAAATCTGAATTAACTGCCTGATACATCCTAATGTCTTCAAAGGAGCCATTATGGCCAGTCACACAGTAGAAGTTTGAGTTCTTATATTGAATAGAAACTGCAGACGGTATTGAACATCCTTATTAAAAATCAATAGAGAGTGAGGATGTGGTCTGACAGGCTGAAGGAATTGGTAACAAGCTCCTTAAAGCCTTCTACCTCTAGGGCAATTATGTATCAATTCCCATGCAGCTGAGAGATGAATGAAAAAATTTGACAGTAGTAGCTCCTACCCAACAGACAAATCATTTTTGTCAGGTCTCAGAGCATCAGTCAAATTTGTTGACAGTGCAGAGAGTCTCAGGCCTTGCAGGACAGGACAGACCTACCTTTTCAGATCAAGGTGAAGAGACTTCAGCAAGGAAGCAGAAATAAAACATGATTTTTTTTTTTTTTTTCTGTAGACAATATCTGGGATATTAGTGTTCAGTATTCATACTTTCAGTATTCATAGCACATGAGTACTTGTGACAACAGAACATCCTCAGGTTTTGGTTCAGTCCAATTTCAACATGTTATGAGAAAAATAAACTCACATTCCACCCTTTCATCCTTTGCCCACTATTAAAGAGAAACCACTGTTTCATATTCCTCTCTGTAAAATCAGCCTAGTTTCTCCTGCAAAACATACTACACCTACACAAAGGACAGACATCCTTTTAGCGTATATCTTGTGTCCCAGCCAAGAGAAGCTCGCTGGATTTTTATAGGACACAAGGGAGCAACAAACATGTGACCATTGGAGAGAAAAGGAATAAAGAATGGAATGGCATGGCATGGCATAAATAAGTAAGCATGAATGGGGGGAGACACAGACGGGCAAAGAACAAATAGAAAGATTAAGTTAAGGATCACAGGGAGGAAAACCAAACCCAAGCACGACAGAAGAGGTGTGCCCTAGATGGGAACTGTTCTCCACTGTTTGGGTTGTTGTTTTTTTTCTTTCATGGGATTGGAGTGAAGTGGCATTTGCCTGATCCAAAGCTCGCTATAACCATGTAAAAACCCTCTTTCAGCAACATTGGAACAGTTACAAAGACAAAATCTCAGTTAGGTGCTGAAATGTATGGTATTTAGCGCTTTGAATAATTTTCATGACCATTTCTATTCAGCAAAATGATGAAGAATAAGGAGAAGCAGTATGGCAATACTGAAACAGCAGACAAAACCAGAGGAATACAAAGTATTTTAGGAACAGAAATAAGAAGTATACAGATCAGAGTATGGAATGCTTTGACATAACATGAAAATACAGGAACAAAAAGATATCTAAAGTAGCTTGGAAAGTGTACCCTATAGACTCAAATGTTGTTTGAAAAACTGCTGAAGAAAATCAGGAAGAAGTCCTCTGTGAGATCTGCTTTGAAAGATAAGACCTGGTCTATTTTTCCTCACTGCCAGTTGTGCAAACAAAGCCATGCAGTTCAAGTACTCAACCTAACTCCATTTTCCTTAAAGACAAAATGACCCAAAATTGGGAATCCAAAAGTATAGCAAGATACCTATGAAAAGAACACAAACAGTCATGCTCTTGGCATTGTTTTATTGAATTGAACCTAAGAAAAAAAAAACCAAAAATGTAACACTAACTTCCACAAGATAGAGAGGAATTGCCTGGGCTCACCTGAATATCCCAATGGATATGCTATATAGCAAATTTAGAAGTTGTTTCTGATTTCACATGCTGCGTAAGAAATACCAGTCTTAGAAGAGAAGATGCTTTATTCTCCCAAACAGCACGAGCACAGACTGAACAACTTTTGCTGCCAAGTTTGAAGAAGGAAGACAATCTAATTTCCAAGTTTAATTCAATCTATTACATTCTTTTTAAGATCATGGTCGAGGTCACCCCTTGTAGCAGAAGATTTCCCACAAAAAGATCACTAGACTGTTGGGAAGTGTAATACAGTAAACTGCTGGCTTGCTACTACAAGCAGTCGGTGCTATGATTTCACCTACAACCTGTGTATGAAAAGTAACACCACTGCATTATCAATGTGACAAATCACTCTCATCCCTCCAGGTTTTACTCTGTAAGAGTAATTCTGGTGAAGTCTGTTTTTGTGATGTGACTGCTCTTTTACTCAGCAACACCATTCCCTCTGTGTAATAATTTTGCAGCACCATGAAAGCCAGAAATGAAACTCTCACATGGTGCTGGGTGAGTAACTACAGCTCTGTACGCAAGATGAACGATGTCAGGAGATATCTGAATCTGCACAGTCCCACTGCAGAATTTGGACAGAGAAATAAATGCATCCATATGCCTCAACTTGAAGGGCAGGAGCCAAACCAAATCTGTAAATCCAGACCTCTAACAAAACTGCAATCTTGCAAGAGTCAAGCCCTACTAGAAGACCTCATTTATGCTGTTGTCCAGCGTTCACAGAAATATTCATGATTTTTTAATAATGCTGACAAAGGCAGTAATAATTCTTAATCCCTATCAGGTATGTGAAAAGGATGACTTTTTTCAACAAGAACCAGCGTATGCAGCTTTTAGAAACTCTTCTACTGACCTCAAAAATAAAATGGCACAGCACAAAAAGCCAATAGATATTTTCCATTCAGTCACTGTCAGACATGAAGTGTAAGGATGAAGCCCACCCCACCCTTTTTATTTAAATTTCTGGGGAAAGGAACAGGTGCTGCCACAGAGGTATAATATCAGAGGTCGGTGACTTTCCCTTGCCTCTTATACACCAAAGCAAAAGCCTGAAGTATCCAAAGCTCTGTGCAGGTAAATCATGTTCAGTCCCATCATTCTTCCCTTGTGAACTGGGATTACTTCCAGATGCAAAGTAGCAGAAGATTCAGTTTCTCAGATATTTTCCACTATTAGTTTTGATGGCCATCATCTTGTCTGGGATCCAATCACCACTTAAGCATGATACTCACCCATGTGTGACTGAAAAAGGTAATCACCCTTTATAAATTCTCTGTTGGCCATAACAGTAAAGACTAAACATAGCTTCATCTCGGCTACTTGAAACTAAATTGAGAAAAGCTCAAGTGGCTTTTTTAAGGTTATTGTTCAACATCTCTCTCACTGCAGAGTTGTTTTTTTTCCCTATGCCTCTAATCTGCATAAGCCAGCTATCTTCAAGTTTAATTTTCTTTCCTTTTTCTGTCTACAATATGAACTGCTTGTCAATATCACATACCCTGCATTTTTCATTGCATAAATATCTCTTCTTTAAAACTCTCTTTTTTTCTACTACTCTGCTAATTTAACTCATTACAAAGTCCCAGTTTTTCTTGGCTGTCATAGGGCATGCAGTCAGAGACAAACCATGTTGTGCATCTCTAGAAACATCTTACCTAAGACAGGAACCTAATGGTTCAAAATGTCATTCTTTTAGCAAATATATTACAGACCTCACTCCAATAGTTGTTCTCTCTCTTCACTACATCTTCTGTCTTGTTGCAGAAGCTGACTGCTATTCAACAGCTGTCCCCCTCACTGGCCTTGTGGTAGCCTTTCAAGACATCCCTCCATGGAGTTTTGCCATGAACAGCTCTAAAAGATGCTGAGATGAAATGCAGCTGGAGCATCAGAGCAGCAATCCTGCTCCATGACTGCTCTTGCTCCCACTCCAATAAAATACAGGTCAGTTCTTCTGCTCCATGACACAAATAGCACATCTTGATGCCTGTGTCTGTGTGCATTTTTAAGTCTTCTACTTATTGCAAATATTCTGAGATGCAGTTCGGAAATCTATTACTAAAAGCAGCCCGAACGTGCTGCTTTTGTTCTGCTCCTCCATGCCCTATAAGCAGGCAGGACAGCGAGATACATACTTGCTCCGTAATGTTTCAGATGTAAATGGCAGCCAATACTCTCCACAGAGTATGTGCAGGCAAGGCAGGGGAGGGGAGTGTACCAGCGGCTCCTCAACCATAACACAGCTCATAAATCCAGCATCTGATTCAATACCTTGTGATGGAGGACATTCTTCTCATACCAAAATCAGTGTGAACTCTCTTTCTTCATGGAAAATGATCATTAAAATAAACAGTGTTAAACAAAATAAGAGGTGATTCACATCCATGTGCATCGTGGCCCTCAGGGAAACCTAAAAATCAAATGTCATTTCTCCCCCTTTTATTGCAAACACACACACACAAAGTGCTCAATCAAACTAAAACCAAACAAACCGAATCAGTTCTTCTGAGGCTGGAAATAAATATTCTAGTATTATAAGAAGCTTACATTGCTTTGATTTAAAAAGGTCAGAAATAATACATGAAGACACACTGTACAAACAAACAATGAGCTATTTTCAAACTTACCTGAGGCTTCCCTAAAGTTTGTGGTTTTTTCCCTGCACATGCACTGCACACGCGCACACAGAGACACACAAAATGTCAGTACGCTTTGACAGAAAATTAAGAGAAGGTGAATGTGAAGGTGTCGCCTAAAGAAGGGTTAGACTTCTAGCTACCTACTTGCAGGCCCCCCACCTACAGCACCAAGAAGTCACCCACTACCATGCCAGGTTAGCGAGAGGCTAGTGAAGATCTAGCGGTGAGCGGAGGCGTTGGACAGACCGCGGCCGGGGGTTAGTGTGAGCCCAGGCCCGCTGCCGAGCAGCAGGAGCGAGGGAGGCATGGAGGGGCACTTACTGACGCTGCCACAGACCGCCATGCAGTACTCCTCCGAGTCAAAGTTGTTCCGGTTCCCGCCGCAGCCGCCGTAAAAGAAGGGCGCGCATTTTCCTTCGGCCACGTCAAAGTACCAGCGGGAGATCATCGCGCGGCAGGGACCAGTCTCGGCTTGCTCAGAGCACACCTCTAGTCACAGGAGACCCGGAGGAACCATATTTAGCATGTAAATGGTACTATCCCAGTTTCTTAATTAGGTGCCTCTCAATGTCCACGCAGGCGAGCGAGGAAGGAGATGCACCAAGGAGGGGTTTTGGGGAATGGGAAACCCCTCCCTGGAAAACCACCCCAGAGAAGACGAAGGTAAATTTTGAACTGACTCAGATTTGTGCCACTAAGTCTCCTTAGCCTGCCTATACTTTTATTTCTGCAGCTAATTTATCTGCACACACCGAGGGGTGTTGCTCTGAAACAAGCTCCAGCATGGTGGCAATGGTACAAGCGTGGTACAAGTTTTGTCTGCTTCCAGGCCAGAGGGGCACAACCACACCACCATCCCATCCCCGCCAAACTCCTGCTCGCAGGACCTGCTGACGGTCCCCGGCAGACTCCTGCCCGAGCAGCCTCTTGGCACCTCTCTGGAAGGGGATCATCTGGGAAGCAGAAGGTGCCACGTTTTTTTCTTGATGGTTTTTAGCTATACATCCCCCTCAACTGAGAAGGTTTCCTAGGTTATATAAAAGAAAAAACAAAATAAAAATATTCATGAGTTATAGGGAAAAACAAATTCTCTTCAGGCACCTATTTATATATAGTCACTGCCAAAGAAACTCCCTCCTGCAAGCTGCCTGGCATAGGGTTTATAATTCATAGTTCGAGGGCTCACATATATAAAATTACTGCCATAGCTTTATCCCATCCATGGGAGGAAACCTCATCCCCAGTAAATATATACAGGAAAAAATTAAAACGGTTTGTGTTTGTGTTCATTGTGAGCTGCCTACATCCTGCAACACATGAAAACCTGAGGGAAGAACCAAACCACACAAATTAAAGGAAGACAAAGCAAATCCTGCCCACAATTTGGAATTCAGCCAATTACACATGTAAATGTATAGCCCTTTACCAATAATGTTCCAAACAGACAAAAACAGGTTTATCTTTCAACGTGCTGCATAAGTCGTTTCCAATCTACATAACGTTAAACACCAATACGCCCCTCATTTGCTTTCATCCCACGCACTGCATCGGCAGACAAACTGGTACGTTCAACTAGAGGCTTCTAAATTCTCTGCATATATTTGAATTTTGTGGCAGGCAGATCCCTAAGGGTTGAAAGATATGAAGAAATATCTGTGCATTAGCACTGAAAATCCCCCTCGCGCTCATTACCTCTTAGATGCTGGCTACAAAGAAGCCCACCTTTCAGAGTCTGTCCTGACCCATCACTTCACTCTCCCTGGCAGCACCGCTACTTATAAATAGATTTTATATTCAAGTGTCATTGGTAGTCAGTGTCTATCTACATTTCCTTAAATATATAATTTAGGCATAATTTTACATGTGTTTAATATATTCACAGACAGTACCTGTAAACAATGTCAGGAATCAATTTTAGGGAGCATCCATTGGGTCTAAGAGAAACAGATCCACCTATGCAATCATCAAGGATGTGCTACAAATGTTGCAGCTTTGTACCAAGCAATTAGGGGGAAAGGAATAGCAGGGGTGAAGGAATATGAGCTTTTTTCACACGAAGAAAAAAAAGTGTATTTAATTGTAAAACACATTAATTACAATTAATTGGCTACTACCATATGATTAATTATATAGCACATTTAGTATACAAGTGATTCTTCAGATTTATTTTAAAATAAAATCTAGCCCCACCATCCAATTATACAGTCAAATCTTCACACAAAGCTAACTTTGCACAGCCTTGGAAGAGTTGCCACGTGTCAATTAAAAATGAATAGTGACTCTTGACATTAAAGAGACAGGTATAATCAAGAGAATTTTTACTGACAGGAAATGTCATTTCAAAAACCACAAAGGTCTCAACAACTCAGTCTTTCTTAGTTAATGCTGACGACGGGCTAATTCACATAATAAGCGCCTTCTAGGTTTCCCTCAAAATACTAGTTTTGCTATAAAGTCTGATTTATTTCATTCTGCACCGTTAAATGTTATCAGGATGGGAACAGTTCACACATCTAATCTGAAATTTCCTGTGGGTACCTCTTTCGCAGAAACAGCAGCAGAGACTTTTTCACATGTGCAAATAATGTGCAAAAGTGACAGTAATTGTCCATCAAATAACTAATGCAAGTGATCGCAAGGAATTGGCTCTTTGGAAATGAAAGTCATTCATATACATGAAGATGCACTTGGACAAGCATTCAGGAAACCTCACGTTAACAAGGGCTGGGAGCTAAAAGCACTGCAACCCAGTGTTGTGGCCAGGGACCCACCTCCTGCCTGACCTGTCATCTCCCACCAGGCTGATGGTGACACTGCAGGGCAGTGGAGGGACATCCTTCCCTCCCACCTGCACAGCTGACTGTACTGCTACTGGTGAGACCTAAATGGTAATTATTTCATTGCAGAGAGAAATGGTCTGCTGTGCAAACAGTTTATGACCTAAATGAAGATAAACAAGAGAGGGGAAAAGTGCTATGGGTTACTGTCTTGCGATTGCTCTGTTTGAGGGAAGCCTCTTGATGGTGCAGTCTAGGAAACTTCTCATTGCTGTCAACCCTTTCCCAGTGATGCCACCACCATCCACCACTGCCTGTTCTCTGTGGAGGGCTCAGAGTAGTGTTCCTTCACCCCTACTTTGGGGCAAATGTACATTTTTAATCAGCTTCAATGCTTGGGAAACGGTCCCGTTGCTCCTCTCGTGCCTCTCCATATCCTCATCATTTGTCTTCATATAAAAAAGCCACAACATTTGATCCTCAGCTGTACCACTGCAACTGAGAAGGTGGGGAAATGAAGTACAAAAATAGGAAATTAAAGAGGTTTTCTTGGGCTATTAATCCAAATACTGTTTTCCCTTCCACTGCTACCCGGTGTGGCAATTAATGCCTATGATGGATGAGCCACAGTATTTTCACAGATATTAGCAGCAGGCAGGCAGCATACACTGCTAAATGATTTATCAAAAAATTAAGAGCTGTCTTTGCTTCATATATTAATCTTGTTGCTAAAAACTGATTAGAAGATGAGCTACTTTTTGCCACTGTATAATTCAATTTTACGTGACATCACAAATAATTTGTATCAAGTACCGTATTATCAGTGAGCTTTGCTTTATTTAAGGACCTTGCTCAGTCTTCTCCCGCCAAAGATGCATTTTTGCCTTTGGCTCCACGACACTGACTAAAATTAAAGAGGACAAGCCTTTGCCACAACTCAGGTTCACAAAGTGGTCTAAATTCTAACTCTGTTCTCAGACACCTAGAGTTTTCATACCATCCTTCAATAGTAAAATTTCTCTCATCTTCTCTGCGCCTTAAACCAAAGATTACAGTTGCCAATACGTTCTGTCTCCGAAACATATTTGGCAAATTATTTTTGAGATAATCAGGAAAGTGTTATTCAACTTTCCTCATTAGAACCTTCTTACTGTTATTCCAGCCTCTTGATGCAAGAAGAGTTGTTTCTAACCAAGCAGGTAAGTCATTCCTTGAAGGACAGTGCTGGCAAAGCTTTTTGATTTGCTTTTAAATTAATAGTTAAAGTGGTATTCTGAAAACAAACTAGTTGCACTAACATCGGTACTGACTGTGTTATTTTTCCTTTGAAAAGCACAGGCTTCAGCATCCTAGGAAACATACAGTTTTCAAGTACGTGGACATTGATTTATAGTGGCTTTACACAAAGTACTTCCATAAACACTCATTTACCAAAATGCTGTTAGTAGAGCTAATTAGAATTTATGTGCAAACATTTTAGATACTTTCGATGATCAGTTTTTAGAGAGGGAAATATAGAATATGGTTCTGAATGACATTTTAAAATTTTTCATTACCATATGAATTGTTTCTGTTCCTTGAAGAAAACTGTTTTTAAATCAAAGTGAAATTATAATTGCTTTATTTCAAAATCTTAACTCCATGCTTTTTTTCCCCCCACATGGGACTAACACTTACTCTATGAAAACAACATTTTCAATTGAGGAATCCAAAATAAAATTTAGACTTCTAAGGTGGGGGGGAGTGAAATTAAAGCCACATTTACATACTTCTATCACTGTAAACATCAAGGTTACTCAGTATTTTCCTCAGGATTTGAATTTATTTACATGATCATAAGAACTAACACTAAGACGCTGACACAGTCAGTTCCAAACTTTAAACCAGAAATTACGTTTGAAGAGAATTTAAGAAAAAAAAAACAAAAGGACAAACAGGAGGAGTTATACTACCATCTCCAAGCTGTCTTGGAAGTTAGGTCCTATGTTTAGTTTACACGTCTGAAAAACTTCTTTACCTTAATTATTATAAAGATACCATCATATTGTCTTACGAATATTACAAGTTCTTTAATTTGGCCTTGGTAACAGAAAAAATAATGTATTTATGATTCTTTCTATACTATCAGCCCTTCAAGTTTGAAGTTGATATTGTTATGAATACACAAATAAATCACACTGACGTTATGAACCAGCTTGCTAGCACTGGCACGTGTTTGCTTTGTCCATGTTGCTGTCAGTTCAAACTGTGTATCATAATCATGCCAGACGGACAAGTACTGCATTTAGCTGCTTAAATATATGGGATCACAATCTTGTCTTTTACTGTTTGTATTTCGCTAAAGAACAGAGCAATACATTAAAGCAAGAGAGGCCAAAGGAATAAACCTCTCAAATACATAGCATGAGGTATATGTTCCTCTTTGTTATGTATATATAATAATACAGCTGGTGTAATTTTGGCTTCTGGGTTTGCAGGAACTGACAGCTATAGTTTGAGGATATTAATACACATGTATCTATATTAGTCTCCATTTTTTAACTAGCTGAGAAAAATTAGACAAGTTAAAAAGTAAATGCACTCTGTTTGTCTTTTAGTTATACCATTTGTCTTCTAAAAAGGCACAATACTGTTTTGCTCAATGAATTAATCAAAAGGGATTATTTAAAGATAATTTCATTGAAATGAAACTTCCTCATTCTGAATATATGG